AGAATTGCTGTTCTTCTTCTCTTCGATCTCCCGTTGGATTTGTAGGTGTTTGCAATCTTTAGATAAGCTATCTAGCTCATCTCCCGCAACCTGAAGTCGTCTCAGCTGCTACTTCTCCGCCATCTTGACTCCTCCCCTCCCCAACGGTTTTTAATTTACGTTTGTGTTTGCGACTTTTTCATCCGTGGGTACAGATGTTACCCGAGGGGTCAGGTGCTTTCCAGATTCCGAGTCCTTCCCTTCTGTTGTTGCGTCTTTGCAGATTTTTCTGTCACGACAACGCAAACGTCATTAAACAAAACAACTCCACGCTCCCATGCCTCTGACTGGAGTCAGTCGGTCGAGGTGCGATTGTCTGTTCTTTCAAAGTATAAAAGAATTTGCTGAAACACCGGCAGCCACCCTCCCCTCTTTCCCGGAAGCCTGTTCTTTTGTCTTTTTCTATTGCTGTCATATTCCTCAGTCTGATTACTCCTAATTGCCTTGATTAGGCTTTAATAATCAGTATTTTCACAGAAAAGTATTCCTGTCCCTGAAATTTTCATCTTTTTGTTATCAACTTCACATGTTAATATAGAGAGAATTAGGAACCCATAATTATAAAATCTTCCTCATTACAAAAGACCCGTCCCTGTTTTGTAAATTTGCATTCTTCAGCGTTGTCAAGTGTCCTAATCACAGCCTTCTCTGGGTCCTCATTCCTCTTCTTGTCTGTTGGTCTGTCAGATGCTCCAAGATGGACCCGCGCTAATCCTCTTGTAAGAATTGGGATTCTTTTTGTCTCTCCCTTCATATGCAAGAATTCTTGAGAAATGCAGCTGGATAGCTGTGAAGAAGATGTGTTGGGAAAAGGCACAGGGTTAGGGTTAAGGTTAGGGTTACCAGAGGACATCATATTGCTCAAGCATTGAGTCCCTACCTATTAAATCTTTGTGTCCCATTCATGTTTTAGTCTTGAGTTATCCCTGATTTGTACGAATGAGGTCAACCTCCCCATTGCGTTTGCTTGTTTGGTAACTTTTGGCCTTTTTATCCCTAATCCTCACTTTTTAAAACTATAATCAACATATAGAAGAACTCACCTCCCCCCTCACCTGCCGCCAGCAGTGGGAGGCTGCCATATTGGTTTTGAATCAGGACCAGTGTCTCAGGGCTCACTCCTCCTTCCTGGGTCTTCCATTCTATCTACATGGATGACTGGTATACCTCATATTTTTCCATTCATGTTTCACAGATATGGTACTTCTTGCCCCTGAGAGGTACGGGGAAGTCTTCCATTTCTGTAATTATTCAAACACAAGTGGGAGGTACCATTGATGGCATTCCGGTAGAATGGAAAACGCCACCTGTGTCTCCTTCTCCCACCTCCAGCTTCCATGTGCCCTGCTGGATCAATGACCCTCACCCTGTTTCCCAGTGCATATTGTGGGGCTTGGGTGGTGGAAAAAATGCAGATTTTAGGTAGGTGTGCCAGCCGAGCTCCCAAGAAATGTGACTTCCTTTGTCTTGTGTGAGATCAGCCTTGGTGCTTCTGCTCAACAGGGGTGGTATACATGCTCTGCAACTTGTCTTGTATGTTCCCATTGTCAGGGATGGACCCTGTGATGAGTTGTAGTTTGCAGTGACCACTCTGTCCAACCTGATGGTGGGGCTTGATTTATGGACTCAGATTCCCTATGCGATGTCAGCCCCTTCCACCACGTGATCCACTCCTTCCTGCTGGTTATACCCTTAGCAGTAACGGAGGGGGGAGTGATTCCTGAATTAAGGTAGGAAAACAGGTGTTGATGACAATAGCATGCAGAAATGGAGCCAAGCCCTTTGGCTGCCTCACAAGGTAGTGATCTCAAGGTGGAAAGGTGGCTCTCTGGTTTCTGGCTGGTTAGGAACCCTTTCCTCCAGCGATCAAAGAAAAATTATCTTCTGACTTTACAAAGATGCAGCAACATTGCTCTCATCCTGGAAGCTGAGCTTGTGTGTCTACCAACCCTGTTATCATCCATTCTCGTTACTGGAAGTAACGTAGATTTCCCCCTTTAAAAAAAAAAAAAATTACATCCTCATGAATATGTTGGGGGAGAATTTGAATGGTGTCTCAGGAATGCCTATCCAGATGGCACTATGTTCTAGAGCAACGCTTCCAAACCATCTGCGGCAAAACCCCTTTCCCAAATCTGTCACAGATTGATACCGATGTAGATGGGGCAGACATGAATTACTAGAAAAATAAAATTTAAAAACACGCAAAACAGAGCCTCCAATTTTGCTTTTTTTAAATCATTGGATTCAGCAAACATAAAATGACTCTCGATTTTTTTTTTTTTAATTTTCTAAACACTGGTCTCAATGTTGGGCTGTGTCTTATGGCAGACTGGTAACAAACACTTCCCAGGATGGAACCCATCTGTAGATCTCACTTGGAGGGGCTTTGATCCAGAAACCTGCCCTCCCCAACTCCCACTGTATTTCTTTAGAGAAAATATTGAAAACGGGTCCTTCCTCGTCCTCAGTGGTCATGCAACTTGGCACATACCGACTTTGTTCTTCACACGGAAGAAGCTGGGGACTGTAGATTATCTTAAAATGTCCCTTCCAAGTGAAAGCAAATACACATGTTCCAAAATATGTACCCTCCCAACCTAGTGCGTGTGGCTGTCTCTCCTGTGTTGTGATTACTGTTTTACTTATTCATTTATTTTGGAGGGGGAAGAGCGACCAAGCAGGAGGAGGGGAGTGGCAGAGGGAAAGGGAGGGAGACACAGAGTCTCAAGCAGGCTCCCTCTGAGTGCCGAGCCCCACAAGGCTCAAAACCGAGTGGAATGCTTACCTGACTGAGCCACCCAGGCGTCCTTCCCTCCTGTTGTGATATTTGAATTGCTTTACGAGAAGCACAAAACAACAAAACCGTGAAGACATGTCTCGCACCCGGGCTGTGTGCTGCTGGTTCTTGGGCATGGGAGCTGCATTCCCCTCTGTTCTGGGGTCTTGCAACCAACATCCAAGTGAGCATGTTCCCAAGAGCTGGTCCCAGAGACCCAAAGTGATGTCCCCGTACAAAAACCGTCATACCAGAGGATGACCCAGCAGACTGATGTCAGCTGCAAACAGTTGGTGCTCTGAGTTCCCCTCTGGAGCTCAGAATGCCTTTCCAAACTCATTCAGTGATTTGTTTGATGAATGAAGCTCCTTGAGGTTGTAGGTCTGAGGCTCTGACCTTCCTGCTGATTTTGGCCAGGGACTGCTCTCAGCTCCCCAGAGCCACTGGAAGGATCTTGACCGATGGCCTCTCGCAACATGGCGGCTTACTCTGTTAAAGCCAGCAGGAAAAGCTCTCTCCAGGCCGCCTTAGCAAGAGGGGATTTACCTAAGGAAATGCAGTCCTGGGAGTTATGTCCCATCATCCTTGCCATATAATGGAGCCTACTCAAAGAACTGATATTCCATTTTTTGCCTTACTCTGTTGACAAGAAGCAAGTCACAGATCCCATCCACACTCAAGGAAAGGGTATCATCAAGGGCATGAGTCACCTAGTGTCTTCTTAGGGTGTGTTTCCTGCATGGTGCCCTCATCTTTAAAATCCGGTGTCCCTCTCCTAGTGGGGATGGAACTTAACTTACTTAGACACCATTGTAGGTTCTGTAGTCAGTCGGAAGATAATCCGGTGTTTCTGTCCTTTCGCAGTGGAGTTTTTATATTGCGATCTGGCATCTCTGAAGTCCATCCGGCAGTTTGTGCAGATGTTTAAGAAGAAGGAAATCCCTCTCCACGTCCTGGTCAACAATGGTGAGTCCTGGGGAAATCCAGAGCTGAACTCTGATGCAGACATGTACACCAGCTGTCCCAGGACGGACGTTCTTTGGGAAATCAGGATTTCCATGGAAATTCGGGAGTCTATGTGCTGTGGTCACCGAGGCTTGGCTTCACTGTTGTGTATGGCTTTTGTCAGGGGCGTAATCAAATTGAAATGATGGCAACCTGATAATACGTTGTATGAAGTCCATATTTTCACTGGCTCATGTGAGCTAGTAACTAAGGTATGTCATGAATGTGTATTTGGTTGGGCATTTTTACAAATGTGACCATATTAAGTCCTCAGCACGTCCCCATGGAGGTCATCAGTATGTGGGCTCTACGCCCAACTGTCTCTTGACTTCTTCCCTGCGGCTAGTACCCATCAAAAGGATATGTGGAGTCCACATCTCCTCTTCCCCTGCCTTCACCGTGCCCACCTGTCCATCTTCAACACCAACCAACCTTGACCCCGATCCCTTCTTTCAGCCACGCTCAGCTCTTAAGGGCATCTTGGACCCATCTTGGTGCCCGAGACATTCCTCTCTTCCCCTGCTACACTCAAGAGATGTTGTAGAGGTTCATCCAAACCCTCCACAGTGAGGAGGCAGTGCCATGAACGTGTCTGGACTGAATCCATGTAGAACGCGGGAATGGTCGGAAGTATGGCGGAGAAACACTGGTGTTGGTAGAACGTCACACGTTGCTTTGAGACTTGGAGACCAGCGGGTCGTGTGTAGAGGAGATAAATGGTAGTATTAATAGGGTGAAAGGCATAGCCATCAGTCAAACCACAACACCTTCTTTCCAAAATATGTAAAACATTTGCTAAATTATTCATCTGTTGCACGGCAGGGAAAACCTTACCATTGGACCCCTGTGATTCTGCCGAGCGCACTTGGATAATCCAGGTGAATTTCCCCAACTAAAGAGACTTAATTGACTCTCTTCTCCAAAGTCCTTTTGCCAGGGAAGGTACCCTAGTAAGAAATCACGAGAATGACGATAGGGACATAATCTGCGGGGAAGAGGGAGCATAAGTCCACATAGTAAGGCTACACCATACTAGTCCATCTGATTCTGGCTTCTGGGATTCGATTGCTGTCTCTTTATCTTCTTTCTCTTTGTCTTCACACGTTTTAATGTTCTCTGTCATATCTGTGGGGTTGGTGGACAGGAAGGGGGTGCAGATAGGCACGCTTCTGCCCAGTGCACCTGTTTGGAAATTCTCAGCGAACGGAAAGTTGTAGCATCTACAACGTAGAGGGTCTGACGCCCGTGACTTGTTTACACATAAAGATACGTACACGTAGACCTGTGACATGCGGGTGCCAGACAAAGTTACAACTAACACCAGTTCCACCTACTTAGCCTGGATACCACACTACGTGTGTGTTATTAGTGCTGGTGGTGCTCGTTGGAAGGCTCAGGATGATTTTAATTTTCCTTTCCTCACTGACCTTTCTTGATATTTTTCAAGGTTTCCTGAAATGGGCGCACCTTTAATTTATTTGCAGAAATCAGTGATTTGGGTTCCCTCCATCTTGGCGCTGGTGGGAGCGTCCTTGGTCGGGGCATTCCTCATTATTATAAATGTTGAGAATTAGAATATTATGGATTGCCCCAAGTAGACACGAGCTGGCAGGACTGTGGGGGATCTGGTCCAAGTGCACATCTTCTTTCCTCAATCCACGTAACACCCTCAGCAATTAGGGACTAGAGCTCATCATCCTGGAGCAATTTGTCAGCAGCAGGATGAAACCACCATGGTGCGCTTGTCCAGAATTTGTGAGATTTTATAGACCTGTCCATGCATGACAGGGGTCATCAGCGGATGCCCCATGGTTCACTCTCTGATGTTCACTTTCAAGATGACCCCAGTGGTCCTACCGTGGTCCCTTTTCTTCTCTGCAGACGGTAAACCAAGCATGCCTGGCTTGTCTAACATTTCTCTGGAGACCGGGACACAGTTTGAAGGTGGACCCAGGGAGGCTGGACCCTCTGTACGCCATGTCTGTTTTCCCTCTAGGGAATCCCATCCATACGTTGGCTTCACATCCCCCCAGACTTTGCTCCCCACACACCTTCCTCTATGCTCAAGACCTACCATGGCTTCTCCCTGCCCCAGACACATGGAGACACAACACACGCACTGTGGAAAACCTGAGCCCTAAGGGAAAATCCCTTGATTCTCCTTGAAATTTCCTTGATTTCTCTTGCATTGACTTGCCTTTTCCAGCTTCTAGAGGCTGTCAGCCTTCCTTGGCTCCTGGCTGCTTCCCACCCCTACTGGAGTAGCATCAGCAGCTCCCTCTGTCTCTCTGTGATGTTTGCTTCTCTCCACACATACCTTCTCTGACTCTGAGCCTCCTGTCTCCCTCTTGAGGACACGTGGTGACCCTGGACCACTGGGGTCTTCCAGAACGATCCTCAGCACCATGTCCCTAATCCAGTCCCATTGGCCAAGTCCCTTTATCCATCTAAGGACATATATTCACAGGCTCTGCAGATCATGATGTGGACATCTTTGGGGAAGGTACTGTGTCCACCACACTGGGCATGGGATGTGGACATGTTTGGGGATGCCATCTGCCATACATGGACCAGGATGTGGATGTCTGTGGGTACATGGTTCTGTCTCCTACCTAGGGATCAAGTCATAGATGTTGGTGGGGACATTATTCTCCTCACTATGTGGGGACCAGGACCTGGATGTCTGTGGGGACATTATTCTCTTCACTCTGAGGGTATTAGGACATGGATGGTTTTAGGGACATTCTTCTGTCCCCCACATGGAGATCAGGGTGTGGACATCCCTGGGGACATTCTTCTGTCCCCCACATGGGGTCCAGGATGTGGATGTCTGTGGGGACATTATTCTGTCCACTCTATGCGTATTAGGACATAGCTGGTTCTGGGGACATTCTTCTGTCCCCCACATGGAGACCAGGATGTGGATGTCTGTGGGGACATTATTCTGTCTGCCACATGGGGTTCGAGACATGGACATTATTCTGTTCACTACATGGAGATCAGGATTTGGACATCCCTGGAGACATTCTTCTGTCTCCCACGTGGACCAGGATGTGGACATCCCCGGGGACATTCTTCTGTCTCTCACATGGGGATTCAGGATGTGGATGTCTTGAGCTGGGGGGGGTCATCATTCAGCCCACCACACCCACCTTATGTGAGCTCAGTACTTCACAGGCAGCAACAATACAGTCATAAATGAGCGCTCTTGACCTCATGGAAGCCATTCTCTAGCAAAGGAGACAGATACTCAACAAGTAATTATCGAGTTCTTCAACCCACCCCAGAAAGTACTACTTGCAGTATGACAACAGCGTAGTGTAAATGAAAGAAAAGATGCCATTTCAAACGTGATCTGCCTGGAAAGCCCCAGGCTTCTGAAGTGGCATCCCATGGAACCCAGGATGGGAGCAAGGCCATAGGGACAGATGGCCCTGGGCCCAGTGGGGTGGCAAGGGCTGTGCAGTCAGGATTGCAAATGGATTCATCTCCAGTCCAGTGTGCCCAGCTTACCTTGATTTATAGGAGGAGAAGGCATTTCTCGTGTGTCTCTCCCCTTGGTTTGTGCATGAGTATTCCTCTTTGCTGTGTGCAATGGGAATTCTGAGTCAAGATTCTTTTGGAGATATTTGAAGGAGTCAGCAGATACAAACAGGTGTTCCAACCACAGGTCTTCTCAGAAGAGGACCCCAGCCATGGCATGGTTGGTGTTCAAGGGGGGGTTGCAGAATTTCCCAAAACTATTTGCCTGAGACTCTCCTCTGTGATATTACCTCCTCCCACCAAGGCGACTGGTTGAAAGGATGTGGGTTCCCGGGACCACATATATCCCATCTCCTGGAAAACAACCCCACTGCATTCCACAAAGGGACTCCCAAGGTCCAAGAGGAGTTAGAATTTGTGCTTTTCTTTTCTCTCTCTCTCTTTCTCATTTTTTAATTCTGAAAATAAGACTGATTGAGGCACCTCGATGGCTCAGTCAGTCAAGCATCTGCCTTTGGCTCAGGTCAGGATCCCAGGGTCCTGGGATCCAGTCCCATATCAGGCTCCCCGCTCAGTAAGGAGCCTGCCTCTCCCTCTCCCTCTGCTGCTTCCCCTTCTTGAGCTCTGTTGCTCTGTCTCTGTCAGATAAATAAAACCTTTTTTTTTTTTTAAAGAAAAGATAAGAGCGATCAAGATGTTGTAAATGTTAAGTACTTCAGAAGGGAAATGGTGTTTGCATTTGCTGGTGCGATGAAAATAGAACCAGACTGCCTCTTTCTGGAAGCTCGGGATCCAAGCTGAGGATTTATCCGACACAAGAAGAATCAATAGTGTATCTCTTGCAGAGCCAGCTCACAATTTATAGTCTATTTACATCAAAGTTTCATTTATCCAGTCTCCCATCCCCACACCTGATCACAGATAGTTTTGAAATAACTGCACGGAATTGATGTTTTATCCTTGTAGGGCTTCTTCCCGTACCTCTAAATGGATGCATTTTTCAACGTCAAGAATTACTAAAAATAAATACGGCAGTGGTAACCCTTGAGAAGTAAAATAACCCGGAGAAGTAAACGATTCTCACCAGGTGCATACTGATGGTGTCTGCACCCGTAGAAGACTGCAGAGCAGTTGAGCGAGGAGGAACATGGTACCCGTTTCCGGGTGGGCAGATGCCTAAGCAGTTTTCCTGTATGTGCACTTGGTGTTCCCTGGGCAAAACAGGCTCTCCCGTCATCTGGTCTCCCTTCCAGGAGTAGGAAGCTGGTAAATCACCAACACGCATGCATGCGTCAATGGATTGTTGGATCCCGATGGGTGTAGACCACATCTCATCGATGCCTTCTGCTTGTTTTCCCACGTGTCTCCCTCTCTGTGTTCTGCCGTGTGATGGGTTTCCCTAGAACAGATGGCAGTTGGATGTTCTTCTGGTGGTGGGCGTTTGAAGCGCCACTTGACGTGATTTACCATGATCCCAG